AATCGTATGGCGTTTGATGAGAACAGCGCAAAAAAATAGAGTAAAGAGCAAGGCTAGACAATGATTATTCATTTAGCTGTAGTGAAGCCTGTCAAGTTCAGTCTTACGAATTAGTCCTATAAAATTCCTACGTTGCGCCTTTTACTCTTCCATTTGATTGTTAATTTTTTTGTAATAAGTGTGATTGAACATTAACAAGTAAAATATAATGATCGTATGCTGTAAACTACAAGAAAGAGTTATAGGAACAAATAATACTCAGTTGCACTCACATTGAGTGCAGGTAAGTGCTATATAACAAATAGCAAAAGTTTTTTCATTATTAATATTAGTAAATGCAATGAAAAAATATTTTCATCTATTATTTTTTCTATCTTTAAATCAAAAAATAAATTTAGAATAAACATACAAAACTTAATATGGTACGAATTTTATGCGAGCCCTCAATCAATATAAAAAAATCATATGAAACATAAAATTCCTTAAAACAAGTGTAACAAATTAATTAATGGTATTTAAATTATCTAAACATAATTTTTTATACAATTGATGTGTTTTTTTATTTCTTTATATAATCTGTTTGCTCAAAAAAAATGAAATAAACACTAGTTAAAAAACAATTTCAATTAAAAAAATAACTCAAAAAAAGATTTCATATTTAAATCAAGTTGCATATAAAAAAGACAATATTGTTTTTTTTTCATTATAAAAATGTGTAAAAAAATTTTTATGTTTATGCTTTATATTTTATATCAGGTTGATAATATAAACAAATACTATGGTATTTTTTTCATGTTTATTGTACTTTTCTAATTTTTTTGTATCTTTATTTCACTCTTAATATAAATGAAATTTTTTGTTGTGCTAAGTATCACCTTTTATCTAATTTTTTTTATGCAAACATCTAGTGTCATAATATTTGGTGCGAATAAATGTGACTAATTGAAATAACCCAATTTTTTGCACTTTTAAGTTGATCTAACAACTATATTATTGTTTTGTTTGCGCTGTATTTCTTATTTATAAAAGCATCAGAGAAATATATAATTAATAATCTGAAAAATACAGATTTTATTTAATAGAGGAGAACGATATATTAATCATCATACAATATATTGTCACATAAATTCAATATTATATTCTATTTTGTAGCTACAGATTTTTTTGTTCATCTTTAAAAAAGTTTTATTTTCAAATGTTATATTTTACATTCAATTATTGGTAAAATTATTGTTAATTTTCTTAAATTATGAAATATAGTATGAATGTGTAGTAAAATACATGTATAAAGTATTTGACAACACATTGATTTGATTTCCTTTATTTACTTTCTTACAGCTATTTAAAGATTTAACTTTTGACTCCTAGTAATCTTGCCGAATAAAGACTATTATGTAATAATACAGGAACGATTGCCTTTCTGTGCACCCACAGAGACTATAAATAAAACTAAATTATATTGTTTAAATACATTTTTTCTTCCCCTTCATTCCACTTCTTTTCGAAACACACACCAGTCTACGTGTGAGTATAGCAGAATAGTGTATATTTTATATAAAAAGGTAGAAATTGAAATATGAAATTCTGATATTAGAATATAATTTTCAAGTTTTATTTGGCAAGTACAAAATTTTAACTTATAATTTTTTTCAAAGTTTAACATTAAAAACATTATAATTTAAAATAAAAAAAAAACATGATAAAATGAAAATCTTTTACTCTTTAGGACATCTATTGTTTTTAAATGTAAAGTTTTATACATGAACCATTTTTTTCTTGATGATCAATGTATTCTATTTTATTCTATTATAATTTTTGATTTTTTTAATGTCGAAAAAAAGGTCAAATATTTTAGTAAATTTTTTTTTAGTGTAGATACTGAACTTCACATATTAATCAGAATAATAATTTCAACAGACTAAGATTGAATAAGCTGGCCTTTTAGACTACATCTCATTGTTTTATAAAAAAAAATTATGGAATTTCAAGAAAGAGAAATAAAAGTTTAAAGAACACTTTACAACATAGATTGTACTAAAAAATTGCATTATTATAAATAAAGAAACAGCATAAAAATCACCAAAGAATAGATGTTTCAGAAAAAATCAAATTCAAAATTTGACTATCAATTTGTTATATGTTATTCATAATGTGCATTTCGAATTTTCTAGTAATAAAAATATAAATAGATTTAATATCTCATAAATGTATTTTTTTATAATTTTTTTAACAAAGAACAAAAATCTTACAAAAAATTTATGAACTCTATAATATGTACTATATTTTACTTATCAATTCATGATTGAGGAAAAAACGTAAATTTTTTTATATAATTTTATTGTTTTCTTTGTAAAAAATATTTTTATCAGATATTAAATTAATAAATCGCATAAGACAGCTATTTACGAATGATATTCACTGTAGTTTTTTTATTTTTAATGTAAAAGGTTACATTTTACGATATGATAAAATTTACTTTCAAATTCTCAGTGCTAATTATAAATAAATACAATGCTGTATCGTACCAAATTGTTAGCTTAGAAATATTTTTAGTGTTTGAACAAATTTATATTTCATGATTTTTACAAAACACATTTTATCGTAACTTTCTATAAAAAAAATGTAAATCGATATTGTGAAGGTGTATTATACTAAAAAATTGGTTTATATTAGAAATATTTAATGTTTTAAACACTTTTATTTATGTATAAAAATCTTATAACGAAAAAATTGATAAAATGCTATGGAATCTAGGGTTGATTTTTAAAAAAATTTTGTTATTAAACTATTTGGTATTAAAATGTTTCATCCATTATAAGATATCCTTAGATATAAATTTATTTAAATAGAATCTGTAAAGAATTAACGAGATCGCAGAATTAAATGTTTTTGTTTATAAAATTTTTCACCACCTAAAATATTTATTCAGCTAATAAATATACAACTATGTATAATTTTTTATTGGTTGGGCAGACAAAATGACAAATTTTTAACATTCTTTTTTGTAAAATCATGTTTATATACAAATTTTTTTAATGTTAAAAAGTAAGTTCAAATTTATCTATCAAAATAAATTTACGAAGAACGAAATGAACGTACCTTTAATAAGTGAACTATAATATTTTGTGTATAAAAAACAGTTATTTGTGTTAATAATATAGTTTAAGTTTTTGTATTTTTTAAATATATTAGTTGAAAAACTATTTTATTTTCTTTGTGACATTACATAGTTTCCTAATTAAATAAATACTTATATAAATGCTAAGTATTTATTTTAAATACTAATTCCTTTATACTTCGCATAATTTAATTTCATAAATTTTAATTCATGGTACATTTACTATTTATTTTACAAGTATTAGAAAAAAAAAATTGTCATTTGTGTAGATATAACTATTTAACATGTCTAAGTGCGGTGTAAATTTTTATAAAAAAATCTTCAATAGACAAGAAATTAAGTGATTTTCTAAAAATATAATCTCCTTTCATTAGGAACTTCAAATAAAGGGCACTTTCAATTTTTTCACTATTAAGTTTTAGTCTCAATATGATGTATAACCATAAAAATCTAGTTTATTATTTGCAGAAACATGAATATTTTTAGTTTCAATTTGAATTTTAAAAAAAAAGATACATTACTATGTTTTTAGTAATGATATCACAAGGTTTAAATTGTTAATTTATTGTTATCCAAATGTTTATAATAAATAAATTTTAATTGCAACATTTTAAATAAACCGTTGCATTAAATTAAGAGTTATTTTTTTTTCGTTATGAAAAATAATAATATATATAATTCTGAAAATCGATTAAGATAGTCAATCAACTTTATAAACTATTACATAATCAATGAACATCTAATAAATCGAAATTATAGCACAATTTATTCATCTTCGAAATTTTGTAAATAAGTATACTGATTAAACGTATCGTATTATTGCGTATTCTATATTAAATAGCAATAAAATATTTTTCAAGAGAATAAATAAAATTATTGTAATCTGTTGTGATATCTTCGTTTTTTGTGTTTATATCCAAAAAATATAAATAGTATACTATTATTATTTTTGCATTTACGATATTCCACATTTAAATCGATATGATCATCAAATATGATAGTTTATATATTCATATATCGATTCTTTTGACAATTTTTTTGACTGATTTTCTTGGTGTGTAATTTAAAAAATATAAAGGATAATAAACACAATTTTATGTTTTGATTAGTTTACACCGTTATATTAGCTATAAATCTATTAAAAAATATTCGCATTGTGAATAAAACAACCCTAGAAATCCTTTTAAGTTGTTTTTAAACATTTAAATGTATTTTATGACTAAATTGTTCAACGTTTTTTATAAAATTTTAATGAATATTGATAATAAAAAATCCTTCTGCGTGTTTTATCACCTTATTTGATAAACTATAGAAAATAAAAATTTTATTTTCTTATATTCTACCATATTTTAGTCTAATAAATTTCTTAAAATAAGAAACAATTTTGTGTATATCTAAAACAAACTATAAATACTCTGAATATAAATAGAATTGAAATTCTCGCAATAAACATATTTATTCAAAGTAATATTGAAACTCTTCATGGTTGATAGATTTCCTGTCTTTATATAGTTTCTTTTGATAAATTAAATAATCATCACAAATAAAACATTTCATCTTTAATTATTCTATTTAATTACAAAATATCTTTATTAAATATTTTAGATTAAATTGATTTAAAACTCCAAAATTTAATAAAAATAAATTTTCTTTTTTTTAATTCTACTATTTTGTTAAACAAATTAATTAATTCTTTCTTTTGTAATCAAAATGTTAAAGGCTACATTTGTTGATTGTGACACATACATTAGTATTAAAACAAAAAAATTTTTATTCTTAAAACATGTATGAGATTATATTAAAAGTATATCACAAAATAATACAATTATATATTTTATTGTATTATTTCTTAACATGTTGTACGATAAGAAAATAAAAATAAAGGGCTTGCCCGGACTCGAACCGGGGACCTGTTAATCTGCAATCAACTGCTCTAACCGCTAAGCTACAAACCCTTAATCAATATGCAATATATAAATAAATACATTATAAAAATTTTTTATGTATTTGGCACTGCATGTATTTTTTTGTTAGTGAACAATTTACTTTAAAAAATATTTTCAATTAAGAATCTTTTAATTATTTTGCTATGTTAGAAAATAAATTATAAAATTTCTTTGATATTATCTAAAAAGCGAAACATATCTTTGTCAAAATAATAATGAATATTGAAATCAAGTAATAAATATTTAATTATATTAATTTTTAAAGTTTTCTTTCATATCATTGATTTGCTTTATCGAAGTTATCAATACATTTCGTTATAATTCATATTATCTTACCTATACAAATACTTGACAAACTTTTCAATTTTTTTGTAATTTTCAGTTATATCACATAACTGTAGAATGCTTAGATCAGTGGCAATATTACTGAAGTTCAAATTGAAAATATAAGAAATGTTTTATTATAAATGGCAAAAATATTAACGGCTTGGAAATTGAAAACCTATTTTTACTTCAAATACATCTTACTCAAGCTAGCTTTAATAATTTTTAACCAATAATTCAAAAAAAAATAACTGTCATTATTTGAACCCACAAATTCTAATATTAAAAATAGCCCTCATTAATATTTCAAAAATGATTATTCCAATACGATGTTTTACATGTGGAAGAGAAATAGCCAGTATGTACTACCAATTTCTTGAAATGTGCAAGGAAAACAAGAATGTAGGTGAAGTTTTAGATGAGCTCGATATGAAATTGTTTTGCTGCAGAAGAATGTTTATAGGAAACGTTGAAATTATTGATAAACTGCTGATGTTTGAGAATACAGCAAAAGATTCAGATTTATGATGCAAAAAAAGGTCTGTGTACATATTAGAGTTTATTAATGATATGTGTAATGTTTATTAAAATTACAGTCGGAGAAATCATAATTTAGTTAGTTTTTTTTTATTTCATAAATTTCAAAATATATTTTTCCTGACTATAACTTTTCTGATTTGAATTCATTCCTTTTTAGTTTGATTATTTATACGTGCGTTTAATTTTCAATTCATTTCAAACTTATTTTTTTCGAAACTCACAACCTGATATCCCTAGAAAAATATAAATCAAAAGTTATATTTATTTACATTTGATTGACTATTAAAAATTATTTTTGCATTCTTAGTATCTTGTTGAATGCTTAAAATAATAGATTTACATTTTAAACCGATAATTTAAACATATCTTTGTAAAATTTCCTATTACTACAAGCATTAATCGGCAGATTGGTTTATTGATTTAGAATTATATCTATTTTTTTCAAATTTCAAAGAAAATATGATAATCGAAATAATATTTTTTCATACATGTTTAATAAAATCTAGAGATACATATGAGATAAAACAACAAAAACTAGTTTTAAAGAAACTGTTATATAACATTTGAATCCCCAAAAATTTTTAATTCGTTTTAGATTAATTATATTTAATTTCGCTCGAATTTTATATCTTCTTAATTGTATAGCGTGAAAATCAAAAATTCCAATATGAGGTATATATGTAATACATTTTTTTACAAATTATTTATGATAATTGCGGATGACGAGAAGGAATTGCTAACATAAATGAAGTATTTTTAACTCTAAACTTATAATTTTTTTGAGAATTAGCCAAAATTGATTCCATGATAAAAGTTTTCGAGACTTAGTAACCAAAAAGAAAATAAAAATATAGCTTGTTTTCATTGTATACAATATTGAAGATGTTCTTAAAGTAGAATATATCTTAATATTAACAATTTATTTTTTAGTTATCTGTTTTTTAGTTAGCTATTATAGCCTCAAACGAAAACAAAGTAAATGAAACATAAAAATAACATCGCGGAAGAATATCTTCAAAGAGCAAAATATGTTAGGGTAATGGCAACGAAAAGACGAGAATTTCTAATTTATTTCTATTATAAAATCAACTAAAACACTAAAAGCATATTTGTTTTATACCGTGTAATAAATATCGAGAACTTAGTTCCTACGCCTGTTTTGAAAATATTTTAATTTAAATTGTTTCGATATTGAAAGGGTGTATATACAGACGGAGGCTGGTGATCTATTAGAGTTTGTAATTTGTTTTTAAAACTGTTTGTTGATATTACCCGGTTTTTTTTAATCCGGAAACATATTCTTGGTTTACATTGACAGTGTTTGGATTGCATTAGTTGATACTTTGTCGTTGATATAGTTTTTAAAGAATCTTATAAACTCATCGGTAGATATATTTTTCGACTTCAACCTACCCTTGAACAGATCATCTGCTTTCAGTTATATTGTATAAAAAGGCATTGTGTAGTTTGAAATATCATTTTTATTAAAATTAATCTGTTGATACTATTTAATATGGTCATCCTGCTGATGGACCTCGCTTTTTTGTTTTTTAGTATTGTTGTATGATAACACGATATTTCATTTTTAAAATGAAAATAAAAAATGTTTTTATGCATATTTCATAAAATTGAACTCTATTAGTATCTTTTTTAGATTGTTTACACCAATCGTCATTCATCAGATGACATTGCTATCAACTTCAAATTTATAAAAAATCAACAGATAAATTATAAATAAGCAACTAAAATTCGCAAATATTTCAATTAACCATTTTGTTTTAACTTTACTGTATAATTTAAATTGATTAAGATAAAATTTTTATTTGTATTGTTTAAAATATTTGATGTGATTAAATTTTCGGATATAATTTAAATTATTTTTTAGTGTTCGATAATTTGCAAATAAATATAAATATATTAAAATAGTGATTAAATATCAAAGCAAATGAGTTAAATTTAAGAATGCCGTAACATTCAACAAGTGTGCTATAATCATTTATAGAAATATGTTATAAATGTATTATACTGACTTGTAGTTATCTAATATGTAATATCTTTCTTGAAAACATCATGATCAATAGATAAATCAGGTACTAGTTAAATAATTAGAAAACGTGTTTTGAAAATAGTTATTGCCACATTCTTTGTAGGATAGCATTGAATCCAGACAAAAAATCAATTTAACATATTTTTTAAAAAATATTTTGAGTCATAACCAAAATAATATTAGATTTATAAGTTCGAATAGTTTTGTATCGAGTATATTTAGTTACACGTTAAATATTATGTTGTTCAAAAAGCAAAGTTTATCATAAAAAAATAATATGTCTTTTGCAATAAAAAACATATTGAATTGTCTGGGTTATCCAAAATTTCATATTTTTTGATTTACAAAAATGTCAAATTTGGAAAGTCTAATTTTATATAAAATTTTTTGTTGCTCTTTGTGTTGTGAAAAAAGGTTTTAAGACTAAAAAATGTTGAAATTATAATTTTTTGTTGTTTGTACAGTTTTTTTCAATTAATATTTTCTTTAATTTTTTGTTTATTATAAAGAACTTTAATTTATATATCTTGTAAATTTTGTTTTCTTTACAATCTTACAGATTTATAGAGACATTTTTTAATAGTCATTTTAAAATATAAAAAAATTTTAACTATTTTTCTCTAACAGATTTTTTGGGAAGTAAAAAATGCATTTACATATTAATATCAAAGCCTTCACTAGTTTTATATATAAAATTTATATTTTTTGAACTTTTGAATAATAGAAAATGTCATATCAAAGTTTTACTTATCAACATAAATGAATATCAATAAATTTAAAAAAAAAACGAACTAAAATTGGAACACATGCCATAAATTCAAACAAAAACATCGTGGATTGAGTTTTTTTATGTAGATTTGGGCATGATTTTTTAATTGTTTGTAAAAAACAATTAAATCCAGCTGATATTAGCAACCACCTTTTTTGCAAATATTTATCCGAAAAAATTTTGATATGACTAGAGCAAAGCAAAAAAACATTTACGAATAATTTTGTATAAATAAAAAAGAGTGGTTTTACATTTATTATTTTGGCTTTGGCAGCATTGCAGCTTCTACTGAGGGTTTTTAAGTTCGTAAAACTATGTGTATTTATTTCTAAATTTTTTGCTTATTTTTTTTTACACGTTATATTTTTCTTTTCTAGCGTTTGTAAGTGATAGAATTTTAGGTAGTAATGTGTTCTACCCAGAAAACCAAGTTAATAGGAAAAACATTCAGCGAATTTCTCTAATGAACGTGTATTATCAAGAGAATCTGTGGATTCGCCTGTCTTTCAATATGGTATAATTTTAATACAAAATGCTATAGTGTATACTATATACTAAAATTTTCAACATAAATACATTTTTTAACTAGGTAAAGGCTTTAACTGTATTTAAACCACATGAATGAACAATAATGTAATAGATAACTTCTTGACATGTTTTGTCAATTATGTAAAAAATTATAGATGTTTATTAACTTTCTTTTGAAGTGTTTAAAAATATCAACTACCTATTTTCGCTGTAAAAAAGCACAAAAAAAATTATATGTGATAAATATATAAATAAATAACTATTGATACCCTAATATGCGATGAAACCTGAAAAGGGTACGAATTTAAATTTTTTTCCATTATATAATAATTACTTTAAGTAAAAATATTCGCAAAAGTGATTTATCGTTGGATTTCATATTTTTAAGAAGGAAAAGCTAGAAAGTAAAACCTCGTACTTTTTTCAACACCATTAAAATGAAATTACAGAATATTTCAAAAATTTATAAAGATTTTGGTTCAATGTATATTAGTCTAAAGAAAATAACAATAATTTGACACTAAAAAGTAAAAATGCACATAACACAAAATATCAGCTTCAGTGAAAGTTTAGAATACAAATTATTTGCAGGAAAGTAATCCGTTTATATTAAGGTTTACTATGAATTTAAGATGGTTTTCTATGATTTTACTGTTTATTAAAAATTTTCAATTCAAGAATTTTCGGAAATTTTACGCATGATAAATTGGTACAGTAGTGAGGACCAAAAAATGATGCAAATTTCAAAGTTTTTTAATAATATGTTTGAACCACATCATTCGTTTATATTAATGCTGTTTT